TGAATGTTATTTGTAATGGACACATACTGTAATTTAGAAATGCCATCCTGGACTTAAACAATTCCCATTATGAGACATTTAGGTTGTCTCCTCTAATTTTTTTCTTACATACATTTTTCAAATAGGTGACGAGCCAACAGCCTCTTCCATGCTGTCCTGCCGGCTGCTTCCCTTATCCTGTATTCAATAAACTTGTATCTCCTTTAAAAACGAATTGATTAAATAAAAATAAAATAGGTAACACATTCACACCATCCAAAACTCAGAAAGTATAAAAAGTGGTATAATGAAAATCTCCCTCCTACCAACAGGTAACCACTGATCTTTGTTTTTAAGACTCCTTCCAGAGACTTCTTCTAACACGGCCATATAATATCCCACTGTGTAACGACACACCAGCCCTCCACTGATGGGCATTCGGTTGTTTCAGACTTTCTGCTGTTACAAGTATCTCTGCAGTGAAGAGCCCAATACACATGCCTCATATATACAACTGCCTCTGTGGAGACATGTAGAAAAATAGATGCATGGGTCGCAGCCTCCACGTCAGCTTTCTCAGAACTCAAAAGATCAACTTTCTCAAGGACACGAACAGTGTTCATTATTTCATCTATGTATCCATAGATGACACTTAGACCGGTAATGGCCTCCACAGTCAGCCGTAAAGATGACAAAGACACAGTTCTGTCACGTAAGTTTCCTTCGGCACTGTGAACTGTTATACTAGCTGATGCAACGTCTTTGCCTTCTAAGTCCAATACCTGAGCCTCCTCAGGGCAGTTTCTATAGACTATTTTTGTTCCTGAGTACGAGCCACACTTTCCCATTTCTCTGGATGTCTTGAATTTTTTTTTCATTGCAGGTGGACACTGTGCCTAATAAAATGTGGCGACCGGGGAAATCAGGATTCCAACCCTGTGCCTGTTGTTAATTGTTTCTCCAGTGACTTTCCTGTTCTAATGCTCCAAAGTCTGTTTCCCCCGTCGTGTGTGGCCTCTGAGGTCTCTGCTCGGTTAGCTCAGCGGTCAGCCAGATGACTGGACAGGGTTTCCTTCAATGCATTGAATCACTAACTCTTCCACCTTTTGCTGACGAGCTTGGCATGTGATTCAGTGCCCCTTCAACGTTCAGTCCCCGCACGGGACTCCAGGTTAGCCAGGGATGAGAGGCCAGGGCCCTGACACATCTTTCCTGCAGGGTCGCATGTCGGGCATGGCTGTCTAGATCCCCAGAGCAGTCCAAAGCCCACTACAGACATCTCATTCCTCAGATCTTCCTTTTAAATTTTTGGCCAGGCTCCAGTTTGCCCAACTGGTATCACAGCCTCAGCAGTTGTGTTAAACAACCGCACGTGACTGTTTTAGACTGAAGTCCTAGGGGTAGATCTTTTCCCAAGGAGGAATCTCTGAGGCAGGTCAGGTAGCTCCCTGGGCCGGAGCTTTTCTGGAAAGCTGTGAGACAAGTGACCGCCATCTGGAGATTGGACGTTCTGAGGGATTCAAGCCCCACGTGTCCCTCCAGTGGCCGCAAGGCTGCTGGGTTTCACAGCTACCGTAGTTCTGAAGCTGCCAAGTGTTAAGGCTACTGCTGAACTGGGGGTGAGAGGATGAGAGAAGGCCAAGTTTAAATGCCACGAGTCCTGCCATGCTTACCAGGGTCAGTACTATGCTAAGCACTTCATTTCCAATATCCCGTTTCACCTCTAACAACCCGATGAGGTTAGAACTATTATAATCCTAGTTTATAGAAGAGGAAACTGAGGCATGCAGACCTTCAAGTGGCTTGCTCCCGGTCTCACAGCTAGTAAGAGATAGGAACCATAATCGGTCTGATTCCAGAGTCTTATTCTCAAGGACTATGCTTGTACTACTTTTCATCTGTGAGAGAATAATCCAGAGAAACTAGGTTTAGTTAAAAGTGTAGTTGGGGCGCCTGGGTGGCGCAGTCGGTTAAGCGTCCGACTTCAGCCAGGTCACGATCTCGCGGTCCGGGAGTTCGAGCCCCGCGTCGGGCTCTGGGCTGATGGCTCAGAGCCTGGAGCCTGTTTCCGATTCTGTGTCTCCCTCTCTCTCTGCCCCTCCCCCGTTCATGCTCTGTCTCTCTCTGTCCCAAAAATAAATAAACATTTAAAAGTGTAGCTGGAAAAAAACCAAAACAAAACAAAAGGGGGCGCCTGGGTGGCTCAGTCGGTTGGGCATCTGACTTCGGCTCAGGTCATGATCTTGCGGTCCGTGAGTTCGAGCCCTGAGTCGGGCTCTGTGCTGACAGCTCAGAGCCTGGAGCCTGCTTCAGATTCTGTGTTTCCCTCTCTCTCTCCCCCTCCCCTGCTTGTGCTTTCTCTCTCTCTCAAAGGTAAATAAACGTTAAAAAAAAAATTTAAGGAGCACCTGGGTGGCTCAGTTGGTTGAGCATCCAACTTGGGCTCAGGTCATGATCTTGCAATTTGTGAGTTAGAGCCTCGCGTCAGGCTCTGTGCTGACGGCTCAGAGCCTGGAGCCTGCTTTGGATTCCATCTCCTTCTCTCTCTGCCCCTCCCCCACTTGTGCTCTATCTCTATCAAAAAAAAATTTTTTTTAAGTGTAGCTGAATATGAATGCGTGAGGAAGATCAATTACAGATAAATTTTATAGAATATGTATTATACTTAAATTTTCTTTTAAGTATTTTCATTTCTTTTAAACGAATTCTTTCCCTAAATTAGTCATTCTTAACTATGGTGTGGATCTGAACCATGTGGAACTTTGTAAAAATATACCTACACAACTCCCCTCTCTCCCTGTACTATTTATGATGGAACGCAGATGTCTGCACTTTTAAAAGGTCTGTAGAGATTCTGAAACTCAATCCCAGCCAAGAATCACTGCATGAGACTCAAAAACTCCTTAAAATTAGAACCGTATCGGGGCGCCTGGGTGGCGCAGTCGGTTAAGCGTTCGACTTCAGCCAGGTCACGATCTCGCGGTCCGTGAGTTCGAGCCCCGCGTCGGGCTCTGGGCTGATGGCTCGGAGCCTGGAGCCTGTTTCCGATTCTGTGTCTCCCTCTCTCTCTGCCCCTCCCCCGTTCATGCTCTGTCTCTCTCTGTCCCAAAAATTAAAAAAAAAAAAAAAAAAAAAAAAAAAAATTAGAACCGTATCAACTATTTCACCACCTAATTTCTGTGACAGGTGTTCACACAGGAAAGATGCTTCTTAGGGGAAATGGCATAAAGGAAAAAGCAGACCTTTGGGAGTTAAGAGACTTGAGTTTGAGTGCTGGACCTCTCACTCGCTCCTTGTACGACCCAGGGAAAATTAACTTCTCTGAACCTTAGTTTCTTCATCTATAAAATGGAAGTTTAAAAAACAAGGCTACAAGAACAGGTAACAAAGGCTGGAATGTACTATGCGTGCAAATGGTCGTTGCCATGATTAACCCTGACTTAGATTTAGAAATTCAGCAAATGTTATTCACTATCAGCTCTGGACAAAACCAACTCTGTGAGGTCCCTGAGTAAGAGCTCACAATCTAACACACGAGTACGGGAGAGGGGCATTCTCCCTAAAAAGGCAAACTGTGATGAGCATTGACACAGATATATTTATTATATGATGGGAAAACGGTGGAAGAGAAATAGTTCTGTGCTGGAAAAGGCCCCTAAAAGTGTAATGTGAACCGTGCCTAGAACGAATGAGAGTCAGACAGGCACAATCCTAGTCTGCCATGCTGCAAACCAGTGGTTCTCTAACATACAGCAAAGTCACACGAGGACTTGTGAAAACACACACTGCTGGGTGCTACCGCAAACACTCTGATTCAGCCGATCTGGAGTGGGGTTTGAGGATCTGCATCTCCCAAGTGACACGGACGCTAACACTGAGAACCACCACTCCAGACAGAGAGAGTACTTGAGCAAAAGTGACAGCTGACAGAACGGGTATCCCTGACCTAGAAGATGGCAGTTTCTGGGACACAGGCTTCGTGTGAGTGGTTACAGAATATGGTCAGAAATCTAGAAATAAAAACTTTCTAAATAAAACACTTCCTTCTCTAACAAGAGGGAGATAAACTGCACATCCGAGGAAGGGGAACGGACATCCGAGACTCTTGTGTGGTGACGGAGGTTAAGTGGACATGTGGCGGTGGCCATCTGTCAATATATACAAATATCAAATCAATATGTTGTACACCTAAAAGGAATATGTTAAATGGCAATTACAGCTCAATAAAACAAAATAGAAGAGTACGTGAAATAAAACTCACTTAAAAGATGCATAAGTTCAATCGATACAAGAAAACAGTCAAACCCAAATTGAGGGAAATTTTATAAAACAACATACCACTACTTGTCAAAAGTGTCAAGGCTGTGAAAAACGAAAAAGAAGAGTAAGGAAATGTCACAGACTGAAAGAGTTTACGGACGTATGATAACTAAATGCAGTGAGGGCTCCTGGATTGAATCCCAAAACAGACATTCATGGGAAAACTAGGAAAATTTCATGAAGTCTATAGTTTTTTAGTTATTGCACCAACATTACTTTCTGGGTTTTGATTATTACACCATAGTTCTGTGAACTGTTAACAGTAGAAGAAGCTGAGTGAAGATTGTATCAGAAAGTTCTGTACCCTTTTTGCAACCTTTCTGTACATCTAAGGTATGTGCAAATACAAAGTTAAAAAAAAAAAAAACTAAGTCAAAACTAACTACTCCTCTGTGATAGGACATTTAACATCTGTAACCTGGTACCTTTCAACTCCACTTGCTACTCCCAGCTTTGCGTCACACAGGTCATCAGTAAGGTAATGAGGCAAGAAACTTTGGGGTAAAGGGTTAATTAAATGTACAAAGGAAAGAAACACAGTGTCACTCATTCTTTATAAAAGAGAATGTAACACTAACACATCCTGAATTTTAATATTTATCTTAGTACGCTAGACATTAAAACTCTGCAAAAAAAAAAAACAAAATTGAAACCTATTGAATGGTTTCATTTACGAATTTTAACGAATGTTTCATACTCACCAAAGCCATCAATATCTAGGTTATTCTCAACCACAACATCTAGTAGAGAGTCACCGACTTTCCCTTTGGCTGTCAATGTCTCCCCATCACGGTTTACAAAGTGGACTGTTATTTTATCTTCTGAGCTGGAAAAGGAAGTAGTCCTTTATTATTTTTAGGAATTTTAAAAGATACTTTAAAGGAATTGTTTTAGGAACTTGTCAAAAACATGGGGGGGGTGTGTATGTGAATGCATGCATGCAAATATGCTTTTTATAGTATTCTTTCCTTTCTACAGTTTAGAGAAGGCATCACAAATCAGAGGCATGTCTATCTATCCATTTACCAGAACGGAAGCTCTACCGCCCTACAGGAAATGGCAACTATATTACTGTCAAGGCCACCCACTGTGTCCCCCCAGGGGTTACAGCCATAGGTTGAGTCCTGTGACAACACGTAGAAACCAGCCTTAGTCATGAAGTCCATTTTACTCTCACACGGCTCCCTGAAAAGCGTCATCTGTATGTAGCGTCCCTAGAAGACGACACCGTGAGATCATTCTGCTATCGGTAGGGTAGCAGCTGTGCGGGTGTCTGAGAGGCAGCAGTGTGTTTTCGGAGCATTTACACATCTCATTTTGGTCCACATCATGTACTCAAAACTCAAAGAGGCTACGATAGGTTTTTGTTTGTTTGAATCAATGGGAAGATAAATATGATGCCTCCTTGCGTGTTTTATTATAGGATATAATATTACCCAATAGAGTCAGCAGACTTAAATTCCTTTCCCTTCTCATAAACATCACTCCAAAATCTGGGAAAAGAAATGATATTAGCAACGAGATGCCTGTCATCCACCATTGGTCATTTTAATTTTGACCTCACATTTGAAAAGATGTACTTTACTTAGTTGCAATTTTCACTACTGCCAATAGAGGGTAATAATCCATCAAAGAAAACTTTAATGTAGGTAAAACTAGAATTATATAATTTCAGAGCTGTAAATATATTGCAAATTATCAGGTCAAATTATCTTATTTTAGAAATGAGGCAACTAAAGCCCCTTTCAGATAATGGCCTCCTTGATAATTCAATGCTGCAAAAAGGAGAATTCTATGAATTAAAAAGTATCGCTTGTGTGTGTGTGTGTGTGAGAGAGAGAGAGAGAGAGAGAGAGAGAGAATGGCTCTCCAGAAGGGCCTGTGCTCTCCAACTTCTTTTCAAAGCAAAAAACAAAAAAACAAAAACAAAAACAAAAAAAAACCTTTAGAAGCTCACAGCACTGAAATGTCTTTTACATCAAACTCCTCTTCCATAAAATCAGGGTAACATTTATGTTCTAGTTTTGATTATGTACGCAAAATACCTAGAGCTCAACAAACACTGATTAATAACTTTTATTTAAAACTTCAGTCATTTTTAAATTTTTTTAAATGTTTATTTATTTTTGAGAAAGAGAAAGACAGAGCCTGACATGGGGCTTGAACCCACCAACCTAAGCGGAAGCCGATGCTTAACCAACTTACCCCAGCTTCAGTCCTTTTGTTGCTAAGAAGCAACTGCTATGAATTAGAGGTGTACAGTCCCAGAAAAAAATACTGCACAGTAAGAGAAATAATAGGTTTGTCAAAGGAGCGGAGAGGAAGCAGAAATGAGAGAGGAAAGGTAATCCTGCAGTTGAAAGCGTATGGAATGTGAGAATCAGAAGATGTAGATTCTAGCTCTGGGTCTGACATACACACATTAGATGACCAGGGGAAGCCACTGCCTTATGGGTAAGATGGGGACTGTGACTTCACCAAGCTGGTGAAGGAGAATCAAAGGTACATTAGTGGAAACACTTTGTTTCTTAAAGCATTATACGCGTGTACTTTACCCAAATAACTTTATCCATTTGCTATTAATAATTGGTATTGGTGGGTTTTAGGTTTCCCCCCCAATTCCAGGAACTAGCAACACGCTTTTAGCTGTTCCCAAGGATAAGATTTCACGCACTGAGAAATAAACACAATCCTTCTAAATCTTCTACCAACATCAATTCATCAGCGCAAACAACTATTTTCTTCACTTGTTACCTTTTACTACTGCCATTTCTTCTGCTCAACCACAGCCGATATTTTAACAAAGCTGTCTGGGGTTGCGGTGGTACAGTTCCTAACAGACTTCTCATAGGGAGGGAAGTTATTATAGCTGCTGATGCCTACCTTTTCACCATATAGGGAGGGTGGCCTGAGGCCGTTGGTCCAAGAAAAGGGTCTGGCCCATTCTGGGGCTCCCTACTTCCATAGCCTCCTTAACTCTTCCTAATGACCCTGTGGGCTAAAGAATTGTCAACCCTCATGGTGCTCAAGGAAACAAACTAAAACTGCTTGACTTCTGTTCCTAGTTTGCCAGCTACTTATATTTTTATTTCCCACCTCACCTACCTCCCAGGATTTTCTTAAGCCTGAAGTGCAGCAATTGTTGTGAAAGCCCTTTGAAGCCTCAATCACTACAAAATAGGAAGTATTATGTTGGAGTATTTTGGAGCAAAAGCCTTTTTTCTCGCCCCCCAACTCTCAATTACCGATAACTTAGCCATACAGCTTCTAGGCTGTTCTGTCCCGTGCAACTCTGTGCACTAACAGAGATGTTCTACACCTGCAATGTCCAATAGAGTAGCCACTGGCCACACGTGGCTGTTGAGTACTTGAAATGCAGCCAGCACAACTGGGATACCGACTCTTTTAAATGTATTTAACTGATGTTATCTTAAACTTAAATGTGGTTGGTTGTAACCATAGTGGAAAACACAAGTCTGAGAGAGTAAGAGGTGAAAGATCTAGTTGTTAGTTCCAACGTGTGTGATACAAAGCACAAGGCCATCAACTGAAACTGTGCCAATGAGGAGGAAAGCAGGATTAGGAGGGAATAGAACAGATGTGCTTCCTTTTAAGACAACCTGATATATCCAAGTTCAAGCTTGATAAATGCAGGGGAGATAACTGCCATTTACAAAAGCATTCACGTTCCCTTGAAATACTAGGTTTGTGAATAAGTTCAATATATGTTGTCCCAATGTATACACAGTTTTTTTTTTTTTTCCCCAAGAAAGCATCCATTGTACAAAAACATCCATGTAGAGAGGTAGAGGCAGGGAGTGTCAAAGAAACAGGGACAAATAAATCCAGCTTGCCTTCTCCGTTATCTCCCTCACACTTCATGCAACAAAAATTTATTGAGCATGCGCTACATAATAGTATTAATGGGGAAAAGATAATTAAGTCTTAGACCCCATTCTCAGGGCCCTTATCAAGAAGAAACTAGAAAAGGCAGCATACAAATCCAAAACTGTCTCCCTCCAGGTCTTGCTTCCCACTACATGACAGCAAGGAGTCAGAGAACTGTCCAGAGATCTGCATTACATAAGGCTCCACCGCACTCTGAAATTAGGAGCAAATTTTATTCCCATTATATCTAAAGGGATCGTGTCTTTGAAAAACAAATATACCCAAGAATACAAATCTTCAAAATATTTTGGGGAAAATTTTTTTTACATCACTTTCAACATTTAATACAAAACACAACACTGTGGGCCTTAGCAGCTGCTGCCAACAGGTGGCACCTACTGAGCCCTCACCATTTGCCAGACACAAGATCACCTCTATTATCTGTACTATCGTATTCTTCAAATAATCCTATGAGGCCTATGCTTGACTTATGCTCCATTTATAAATGGGGAAACTGAGGTTTATACTGATGGAGGAAGTGAGGCATTAAGTGCCCAAGCCTAGTTTAAAACCCGGCCTTGCCAGTGCGAGGCAAGGAGTTTTAGCCCCGCATCGGCTACAAGAGAGCATACAGGCAATAAGGGGAGAGAGTGTGTGTATCCTAAACAGGCATTCCCAGCCAAAGAACTGGAGCCGGAACGTCCTAAAAGAGCAGGAGAAAGGCCCAGAACCAAAGTGCTGGCCGGGACATCAACGGAGAGCGTTTTATGAAGGTCAGTGCAGGCTCCGGGCAAAGCAAAGGTCAGCGCCGAGCCAAAGCACTGCAGAATCGACGGTGGCAGAGCGCGCGGCTTCCGGAGGGCCCCGGACGGAAAGGAGAGCGGGGTCCAGGGGGTCCCGGGTCCCCGTTCCCCGCAGGCGTCCGGGCTGGGAAAGGAAACCGCGGCGAGAATGGAGGCAGACAGGGCCCCGAGGAGGGCCACGGCCCAGGCGGGGCGAGAGGCGAGCGACCCCGGACAGCCGC